ATTTTTGAAATGGTGTATCTTTGGCTATGTGTATTTTCACCAAAAAAAAAAGGTTGAGAAGTTAGAGGGTTGACATGTTGTGGGGTTGTTAAGCAGTGTCATAAAACAATATGTGTACTACTGTTTCATGAGAAGCAATTTGTTCTGTAAGCCTTCACCTGAAGTACAATTTAAAAAAAAACTGTGTGTGTCAGTTTGGCTGGGCCATGATTCCTGGTATTGTGTGATTTTCCTATGTGTTGTAAATCCTGCCTCTGTGATGTTAATGAGGGAGGATGGGTGGCAGTTTTGTTAGTAAGGCAGGACTCAATCTACCAGATTGGATTGTGTCCTGAGGCAGTCTCTTGAGATATAAAAGACAGAAGTGAACAGAGAGACAGGGGGACCTCATACCACCAAGAAAGCAGTGCCAGGAGCAGAGCGCGTCCTTTGGACCTGGGGTCCCTGCGCTGAGAAGCTCCTAGTCTGGGGAAACATTGAGAAGGCCGACAGAGTGAGAAAGCCTTCCCCTGGAGCTGATGCCCTGAATTTGGACTTTTAGCCTACTTTACTGTGAAGAAATAAATTTCTCTCTGATAAAGCCATCCACTTGTGGTATTTCTGTTGTAGCAGCACTAGATGACTAAGACACCTGGATATCTCTCAGGCACCCCAAGCTCAGTAAAATTAAACTCATGATTTTCTTGCCCACTCTCCAGAAAACCTGTTTGTTTGTTTATTTGTTTGTTTTTTCCAGCTTCCTAGTACGAAGCTTCAGCAGTGCTCAGGCCAGAAACCTAGGAGTTGTCCTCAACACTCCCTTCTTCCTTCCCTCTAGTCAGTCCATTCTGTATCCAGTACTCAGAATTCGTCCTCAAACATAAGCCAAATCGTGCTTAAAACCCTCTAATAACTTCTTATCGCTCCTTACAGTGGCCCACAAAGCCCTTCATGATCAACTCCCTGCCTGTCTCTCCATGTTCAGTTCTGTCCTCTTGCCTGTCAGGGCCTTCACGTGTGACATCTCCTCTGCATGCAGTGTTGTTTTTACCACCTTCTTTTTACCTGGTTAATTCAGACTCATCCTTCTGGTTGCCACTTAAATCTTACTTCCTCGGGGAAACTTTCACTAAGCATCCCCCTTCTCCATCAGCATAGAGCAAATATATACCCTCCTATAGTGTACTGTCATTGTACCATGTTGTTATATTTCATAACTTATCACAACTGTAATAATAATTGAATCACTCTTTAGATTACGAGCTTCATAATAGCAGGGACTAGGTACGTTTTGTTGTTATAGCCCTGATATCTGACATTTAATAATAAATACTGAATGAGTGAATGAATATTTTCCTTATCCATGTTAAACTTTTTAAATAGCTAGAAATAAACTTTTAGAAATTCTGATTTGCCATATCAGTACTTTCAATAGTCTACAACATTTAACCCCATATATAGTGGGGGAAAAGGAGCCCTGGTGGCACAGTGGTTAAGCGCTTGGCTGCTAACTGAAAGGTCAGTGGTTCATACCCACCAGCCGCTCCACGGGAGAAAGATGTGGGAGTCTGCATCAGTAAAGATTTACAACCTTGAAATCCTATGGGGCAGTTCTACTCTGTCCTGTAGGGTCGCTGTAAGTCAGAACCAACAGCAACAGGTTTGGTTTTGGATAGTGGGAAAATGACCCTTTGGAGCCATAAAGGAAAGTCCTTGCAAGTTATACACAGACAAAATGCAGAGCTGTATCTATATAAAATTTACTATCTAAGCTTTAGGTAACTTTTTCTGTGGAGACAAGTGTGTTCCTATGCATAAAGGGAAGGTAGAAGAAGCCACTTGTGAGTATTCATCACTTTCTATACCCTAGAAGGAGACATCCTAGAACAAAATCTACCAGGGTTAAAAGCTTCCTAGTGAGAAAAGGTGGCCAGCAGCATGAGAAATCGGATGCCACAGTGGATAGAAAGGAGGCAGTTTGGGTAGGTTGAGGAAAGCACTGAGTTCAGGACTCATGCCAACATTGTTGTTTTGACCTGAAGTTCAGTCTATTCATACAGTCAACAAATAGTCATTGCCAGACACTGGAATCCTTGTAAAATGAAGGACTAGACTAAATACCTTCTAATACTAAATTCTCTTCCAGTCTGAGATTCCCTGGTTCTAGACACTCCCGCTGGCATATTGAAGTTAAGGTCAGCTGATTGTTCATGCTTGCTCCTTCCCACCCACTCAGATTTTCAGTGTTTAATTTGGTAATCTCTATTTTCCAGCATCACGGAACACATAGACTTTGCCACCCCAATACAGCAGCCAGCGATGGAGCCTCTCTGCAATGGCAATCTCCCCACCAGCATGCACACCCTGGACCACTTGCATGGGGTTTCCAACAGAGCCAGCCTGCACTACACGGGGGAGAGTCAGCTGACAGAGGTAAGTGCTCACCTGCCTGTGCTTTTCAGCCTCACAGCCATGATGCACCTGATAACAAAAAGCACAGTGGCTTTTTTCTTTTTGGTCTGTTTCCGGCTGCCTGTCATTTAGGTGGCTTTAGGTAAGCCTAGTTTCTTTTAGGCCCTGGGGCTTAGATCATGCTTTTTTATGTGACCAGAAATTTTAATTCTGATTCACTCCTCAAGATAGAGAGCATTCTGCCTTACCATCCAACAGAGGCTCTTGCCAGAAATATTTGGGGGCAGATAGTAAGAATTATCTTGGCATTCTTAATAAGAAAGAAGGAAAGGAGAGCAGACCCAGTATGTTGGTGTTGTGTTGTTGTGTGCCATCGAGTCGATTCCGACTCATAGCGTCCCTGTAGGGCAGAGTAGAACTGGCTGGTGGATTCGAACTGCTGAGCTTTTGGTTAGCAGCCTGAGCACTTAACTACTTCGCCACCAAGGCTCCTGGGGTATGTGTGTGTGTGTATATATATAATCTATACATATATATACATATATACAAAAGAATTGGAAAAACATGCCACAAATATCCAACAATAGAGGTTTTGTTAAATAAATTTTGGTATAATTATAAGATAGTATACAATACAGCCATTAAGAAAGATATAGTAGAAATACATTTTTTGGCATGAAGAAATTTTCAGAATATTTTAAGTGAAAATGTAGGTAACAGAAACAATATACAGTGTGTTCCATATTTTGTGAGAAAAATAATACGTATGTATATACATAGAGAAGTATCTGAAAGGGATTGATCAATAGACATTCACAGTGGTTGTATCTGGGTGACAGGATTTCTAATGTTCCTATAACGAATGTGTTTTACATGTCTATAAGTTTTGTTAAGTGGGAGAGGGCTGGGGGATGATAAAATGGCCTCAGATGTATCTTCCACAGAATACCTGACCAACAGAACCACAGTATGAATCCCAGAGAAACAATTTGCTTTTGTGGTGTAATGCCCAAATCTGCATCAACAGTGTCATCTAGATCCTGCCTCATTTTTATTCCTCTAATCTATATCTTCTTCCCTATTCCAGGTATTGCAAAATCTTGGCAAAGACCAATATCCACAACAGTCACTTGAACAAATTGGCACCCGAATTGCCAAAGTTTTGGAAAAGGTAGGTCACCATGCAGGAAGCCTTGCCTTCTAACTTCTTTTCCAGATTATTTGCCACTGTGAGGCTCTAACCTTTTATGTTAGTTACTTAGCACTTGATGACTAAAGGGTTAACATGAAATAACCCCATGCAGAGTGTTTCATTCACTTTTCTGTTTTACTTTTTCCATCACTTGGGTAGTAGTATTTTTTTTTTTTTAATTGCTTTATTTGACCTTCTCTAGTGGATCATGTCTAATCAGTTTTCCCTTTTTACTGCAGCATGAGTATATAGAGGTTGTGGTATTGGAAACCATGAAATCTAGGTACATGAAATAAGTCAGATGTTCTTCTGATGGTGAAGAATACTTGGTATTTTGGATGGTGGATGGGAAACACACCTTGAAATACCTTTTCTCTTTAAAATCATGAAACAAAATATTTGCAAAACTGCATTTTCATAGAGCTTACTGAAAAAAAAATCTCTGTGATATTTGTATAAAGAATGAGGTTTTTAATTTTAACTTAATTATTTCGTAGTTAAAGATCTTGCAACTAAAATTACTATATAATACTGAAGAGGTAATATAACATAGTGATCAAGAGAGTCCACTCAACTTCCATTAAGAGCACAGCAGTATGAGATAGCAGTTTCCTTGTTCTGATATAACATATGGAAAAATTGCCAGTAAACTCTAGTTGTGGTGAAAGTAGGAGACAGATGTAATTCACAGACACACACACACACACACACACACACACACACACACAGACACACACACACACACACACACACACACACACACACGCACGCACGAGACAAGGGTTCACCAAAAGTGGCCAAGCTGACACAAAAGCCACACAGAATGAATTGTAGCAGAAGCTCAGAAGGAATAGTAATTTCAGAAAACATCAGCAAAAATCTTTCTACGCTTTGTCTGACCAGGGAAATCCATTGGATTTTGAGTAATAAAAACAGAGGTGGCCCAAACAGTGATATAAAATATAAGAAAAAGGTAGGAATCAGCAGCAAAACTATTAAAGACCACAGCAAAAAAAAATATATTGTCATGAAACAGATGACAATTCAGACTAAATTGTTTGCTGTGCATTAAAAAGTCATATTGAACAATTGCCTCTATGAATAAAGATCACAAAACTAAAATATAAAACTGTGGGGAAGAGGTTAGCAAAGGCTTAAAAAAAAAAAATCCAGGAGATAGAAAACAGAAATATGTGCAACTTGAGCAGGCAGAACACAAGAAAGAAATAGAAAAAGTAATCAAAGAAATGATAACAAAATTGGAAGGAGCAATAAGGAGAATACAGCACAAACACATAAAGGGACATAGAGGATAGAAGTAAGAAATGTGACCAAAATAAAATAGAGAATTAAAAGGAGTCAAAGAGAATATGATCGAGAAGAACATATTTAAAGAAAGCTGATATAGCTATACTCATACCAGAAAAAGTAAACAATAAAGCAAGAAACATTACTGGAGTTAGAGAGGTATATTTCATAATGATATAGGGATCTATGGTAGGCTGAATAATGGTCCTCAAAAAGATATTCATGTCCTAATCTCTGGAACCTGTAAATGTTACCTTATATGGCAAAAAAAAAAAAGACTTTGCAGATGTAATTAAATCAAGGCTCTTGAGATACATAGATTATCCTGGATTATCTGGATGGGCCCTAAAGCAACCACATGTATCTTTATGAGGGAGGCAGAGGGAGATTTGATACAGACAGAAGAAAAGACAGTGTGACCACCTAGACAGAGAGTGGAGTAATGCAGCCACAGCCAAGAAGTGACGGCAGCCACCAGAAGCTGGGAGAGACAAGAAACAGATTCTCCTTTAGAGCTTCCGGAGGGAACATGGCTCAGCCAAAGACATCTTGATTTCAGACCAGAGAAACTGATTTTGGACTTCTGGCCTCCAGAACTGTGGACAGAATAAATTTTGTTGTCTTAAGCTACCAAGTTTGTAGTAATTTGCTACAGCAGTCATAGGACACTAATACAGATGTAATCCACAAGTAGATACCATGATCAATAAGCTGTATGTACTCGGTAACAGCTTTAAAATATATAAGGCAAACGTTGGCAAATCTAAAAAAAAGAAAGCAACATACCCCAAGTCCGAGTGAAGGATTTTAATACGATTCACATAACTAACAGAAAAAGCAGACAAAAATTAACACAATTACAAAACTGATCTGATTGACATTTGTTGTTGTTGTTGTTAGGTGCTATAGAGTCAGTTGTACCCTATGTACAACAGAGCAAAATACTGCCTAGCCTTGCGCCATCCTCACAGTCGTTGTTATGCTTGAGTCCATTGTTGCAGCCACTTTGTCAGTCCATCTTGTTGAGGATCTTCCTCTTTTTCACTGACCCTCCGCTTTTCCAGGCATGATGTCCTTCTCCAGGGACTGGTTCCTCCTAATAACATGTCCAAAGTACATGAGATGAAGTCTTGCCATCCTTGCTTCTAAGGAGATTCTGGCTGTTCCTCTTTCAAGACAGATTTTTTCATTCTTCTGGCAGTCCATGCTATATTCAGTATTCTTCGCCAACACCATAATTCAAAGGCATCAGCTCTTCTTCAGTCTTCCTTATTCATTGTTGAGCTTTCACATGCGTATAAGGTGATTGAAGACACCTTGGCTTGGCTCAGACACACCTTAGTCTTTGCTTTCTAAAATTTTAAAGAGGTCTTTTGCAGCAGATTTGTCCAATGCAGTGCGTCATTTGATTTCTTGATTGCTGCTTCCATGGACGTTGATTGTGGATCCAAGCAAAATGAAATCCTTGACAGCATCAATATTGTCTCTGTTTATCATAATGTTGCTTATTGGTCCATTTGTGAGAATTGTGGTCTTTGATCTTCATCAGTAAATGCTTCAAATCCTCTTCACTTTCAGCAAGCAAGGTTGTGTCACCTGCATATGGCAGATTGTTAATGAGTCTTACTTCAATCCTGATACCCCGTTCTTCTTCACATAGTCCAGCTTAGATTATTTGTTTAGCATACAGATTGAATAAGTATGGTGAAAGGATACAACCTGATGCATTTCTTTCTTGACTTTAAACCACGCAGTATCCCCTTGCTCAATTCAAACATCTGCCTCATGGTCTAAGTACAGGTTCCTCATGAGCACAATTAATTGTTCTGGAATTACCATTCTTCGCAGTGTTCTCCATGATTTGTTATGATCCACACAGTTGAATGCCTTTGCATAGTCAATAAACACAAGTCAACATCTTTCTAGTATTCTCTGCTTTCAGCCAAGATCTATTAGACATCAGCAATGATATCCCTTGTTCCACATCCTCTTCTGAACCTGGCTTAAGTTTCTGGCAGTTCCCTGTCGATGTACTGCTGCAACCACTTTTGAATGATCTTCAGGAAAATTTTACTTGTTTGTGATATTAATGATATTGTTTGATAATTTCTGCATTCTGTTGGATCACCTTTCTTTGGAATGGATACAAATATGAGTCTCTTCCAGCTGGTTGGCCAGGTAGCTGTCTTCCAGATTTCTTGGCATAGACAAGCTAGCGCTTCCAGTGGTGCATCCGTTTGTTGAAACATCTCAGTTGGTATTCTGTCAATTCCTAGAGCCTTGTTTTTTGCCAGTGCCTTCAGGGCAGCTTGGACCTCTTCTTCAGTACCATTGGTTCTTGATCATATGCTGTTTTCTGAAGTGGTTGAACATCGACCAGTTCTTTTTGGTACAGTGATTCTGTGTTCCTTCTATCTTCTTTTGATGCTTCCTGCATCATTTAACATTTTCCCCATAGAATCCTTCAATATTGCGACTGGAGGCTTGAATTTTTTCTTCAGTTCTGTCAGCTTGAGAAATGCCAAGTGTATTCTTCCCCTTTGGTTTTCTATCTCCAGGTCTTTGCATCTTTTCATTTTAATACTTTACTTTGTCTTCTGGAGCCACCCCTTGAAATCTTCTGTTCATCTCTTTTACTTCATCGTTTCTTTCTTTTACTTTAGCTACTCCTACGTTCAAGAGCAACTCTCATAGTCTCTTCTGACATCCATTTTGGTCTTTTCTTTCTTTCCTGACATGTGTGATGACCTCTTGCTCTCTTCATATATGATGTCCTTGATGTAATTCCACAACTCATCTGGTCTTCAGTCATTTAGTGTCCAGTGTGTCAAATCTATTCTTGAGATGGTCTCTGAACTCAGGTGGGATATACTCAAGGTCATACTTTGGCTGTCCTGGATTTGTTCTGATTTTCTTCAACTTCAGCTTGAACTTGCGTATGAGCAATTGATGGTCTGTTCTGCAGTTGGCCCCTGACCTTTTTCTGACTGATGATATTGAGCTTTTCCATTTTTCTCTTTCCACGGATGTCGATTTGAGTCCCGTGTGTTCCACGTGTATAGTCGCAGTTTATGCTGTTGAAAAAAGGTGTTTTCACTGAAGTGGTCGTTGGTCTTGCAAAATTCTATCATGCAATCTCTGACATCGTTTCTATCACCAAGGCCATATTTTCCAGCCACCAGTCCTTCTTTGTTTCCAACTTTCACACTTGGGTCCACTAGTAATTATTAATGCATCTTGATTACACGTTTGATCAATTTCATACTGCAGGATTTGGTAAGAATCTTCAATTTCTTCATCTTTTGCCTGAGTGTTTGGTGTGTAAATTTGAATAATAGTCCTATTACCTGGTCTTCCTTGTAGACATATAGATACTATTCTATCACTGACAGCGTTGTGCTTCAGGATGGATCTTGAAATGTTCTTTTTGACAATGAATGCAGCACCATTCCTCTTCAGTTTGTTGTTACTGGCATAGTAGACCATATGACTGTGTGATTGATAATGGCCAATACTAGTCCATTTCAGCTCACTAATGCCTAGGATATCGATGTTTATGCATTCCATTTCATTTTTGATGACTTTCAACTTTCCTAGATTCATACTTTCTACATTCCACATTCCAATTACTAATAGATGTTTGCAGCTGTTTCTTCTCATTTTGAGTAGTG